ACTTTTAGTGTTGCTGACAATGGACGTCATTCAGGTCGTGTTGCATGATGTAGGGGTCCATGCAAGGACCACACAGATGGGGTTCATTTTTGCTAAACGGTATTGGGAATGCCAAAAAAGGTCGAAAAATTCGAAAAGAATGGGCGATTTGAACCACCTTATTCAGCTCCGTTCTAGCTGTATCGTTGAGAGTGTATAGTTTATGAGGTGAACTTTGAGTAGACATGAAAAACAACGCAGAAGAAGGTCAAAATCCAAGTACTTCACCTGGCATGTGGTGAGCTACATTGAAGTTTCATCGTCATCCCCGCATGCTTCTTCAATGGCTCCCGCATCTCACCCGTCGCAGTGGACGGATGGTGTAGTGGATAGTGCAACTCTCAATCTACGGTGACTGTGGATCGGACTCTCTTGGAGACTCCGTTTTGCATTTTCAGATTTCTTCCTTCTTGAGTTCCTGTGTGTCCGATAATGTGTAGCGTATTCTGTGCGCTAATAGTTCTCAAACGGGCCTACTCTACTATTACGCTCTTGAAGGACTGAAAAAGAAAATATCCCTGGAATGAGTGGAAACTGAATCGGATCGATGTGTCTAGAATCCTAACTCTTTCAGGTATTTTTGTCTGTTCACGTAAAACTGCCATTTATCCAGGTACAGATCTAGATATCTATGATCTACAGATCTAATATCTATGATAAAAATCAACGAAACATGTGAAGATATAAAATGGCATACATGCGGCTTATACACATTATCGGGCACACAGGAACTCAAGAAGGAAGAAATCTGAAAAATGCAAAACAGAGTCTCCAAGAGGATCCGATCCACAATCACCGTAGACTGAGTGATGCACTATCCACTACAACATCCGCCCACTGCGAAGGGTGAGATGCAATGAAGCATGCGGGGATGACGATAAAACTTCAACGTAGCTCACCACATGCAGGGTAGCAATTGGATTTTTTTTCTGCTTGTTTTTCATGTCTACTCAAAGTTCACCTCATAAACTATACACTCTCAACGATACAGCTAGAACGGAGCTGAATAAGGTGGTTCAAATCGCCCATTCTTTCGAATTTTTTTCGACCCTTTTTTGACATTCCCAATACCGTTTAGCAAAAATGAACCCCATCTGTGTGGTCCTTGCATGGACCCCTACATAATGCTCACCACGACCTGGACGACCTCCCTTGTAAGCTCATTTTTAGCAAGGGATGCGGCCGCGACGACTAGCGGCGCGAAGAAGCTAGGTGCACAGAAGACACAGCACAAAGCCATACAACCGATGAAGGTAGACATGTGGATATAGTAAGTGTGCCATATAAAAGAAGGCGTGGCCAGAGCTAAGTGGCAAGCTCCTGCAAGTGGCAGGCGAATGCTTATAAAAAAGCAATCAGAGCATATCGTACTCTCGGGGTCCTCATACAGGCAGGGTGTGTTTACCGTACCAGAGGGGGAACCTTGACGGGTGTGGTGGTGTTATGCAAAATTATGCCCCAAACAGTTGATAACTATACCACACTAGGTACTGCTGCAAGCCCCGCCCCAACACCCCCGCCCACTTTTCAGCGCGGTCACGGTTTTCCAAAATGTTTTATGAAATCTGCTTCTTCGACTTTTTCTCACTTTTGCTAGTTGCACACACACTTCAACTGAAAAGGATTGGTACCGATACAGATCTGACTCCGCCCACTTCACAATCAAGTGATGTAAGTTCTGAATTTTTATAACTTCTTTCGACGTCGGTTTTTTCACATTCAATCTTCACAAAAACAATATACCAATATCGTTTTACACACTAGCACTACCAGGCCCCGTCCGCTGTGGACACGCCCACTTTTCGGCCTTTTTCGCGGTAATCTTATTTTCAATGCTTCTCGAAATTGTCACCCTTCCTTTAGGCTGTGGCAAGCTCATTAATGAGGCCCGCCCATTAATGGAGCTCCGCCCCACTTTGAAGAAAACGTCCACAAGCCCGCTACTTTGTAGAACCCCGACCCATTTCTGTAGAAGCCCCTACACTCTTTCAAAAATAGAGCGCGATGTCGACGAGACATAGGTGACAGTTACTACACGTTATGGGCCTCCTCCCCGTCACCCGGAACAAGAGTTTCCCAGATTTTTTCTGTCTTTCCCTTTTTCATTCTAATGTGACGGGGAGAGGGCGGAGTGGTGTAGGCGGCGCGCCGGGTTCGAATCCCGGGTCGACACCCGCCCAGGCCAACCAAGCCTTCTACCCTCCGGACGGTAAATTGGTACCAGATTCGTCTGGGAGGATAAAACACTGACTTGTACATCGGCTGGCCACCGCAAGTCATTGTATAGGCCACATCGCATTCAATAAGCCACTACGATTCTGAATGGAAGTAGAATGCGTGCCGCATCCCACAAAGGGATTGATCAACGGCGAAGACTTTATCCTTTATCCTTATGTGACGGGAGAGGCCATAACCTGCTAGTACGGTCACTAGCTCGCCGATCTGCATCATTTTTGAAAAAGGCTTCTACAAAGTGGGCGGAGCTTCCATTAGTGGGCGGGGCCGCTTGTCACAGCCTAAAAAAGTGAAAATTCGGAAGAAAAATCAAAATTCCGCGAAAAACGAAAGTGGGCGTGGTCAGAGGGGCGGGGCCTAGTGTGCTAGTGTGTAAATGCATGGCTATATTCGTTTTGTGAAGATTGAATGTGAAAAAACGACGTCGAAAAAAGTTATAAAAATTCAGAACTTACGTCACTTGATTGTGAAGTGGGCGGAGTCAGATCTGTATCGGTACCAATCCTTTTCAGTTGAAGTGTGTGTGCAACTAGCAAAAGTGAGAAAAGTCGAAGAAGCAGAATTCATAAAACATTTGGAAAACCACGGCCGCGCTAAGAAGTGGGGGTTGGGGCGGGCTTGCAGCAG